TAACTGAATAAATAACAGGTAGTAGCTGTGGCAGCAGTTGGTGCAGGGAGTACTCAGTGTACGTGAGATGGCTTGACCTGCCCACGGGAGAATGGCTGAACTTAAAACACTTCTTATTTTCTTGCCCATTCTTGCAAAGCAGCTTCTGAAACCAACGCGAACAAAAAGGGAAGAACACAACTGGCAGTAAAGTCGTGAAATTGATCCTTATAACAGGCAACTTGTTACCAGGCTTAGCAAGGAGTCCCAAAGAATGGCCGTGAGAATAAACATCAGCTTTTTTGATGCATTTTATATTGGAACATAGATTCCTGACCGTGAGGTTATTATTTTGAAACACAATTTCTTTTACTCTCAATTAATCAACTGCGGAGTCAAAAACTCCTGTATGGTGATGATATTAAGAATAGATTTTCCAGGTTGTGGGTTGAAATAGTTTAAGGAGTAGTTAAGATAAAAGAGTTTTGTGACAGTTATGGACTGAGATTAACCTTATTAGTTTTATTACTGTTCCTGAAACCTATTCTTGAGAGATTTAAAAACTTTTTAAACAAATGTGTATCTGAAATGTAAATGAATCATCCAAATGTGGTATTTGTTACCTGAATGTGATTTTAAAGTTATTTCTGAAATACCGTGCTCCACTTAATTCCATTTTAGGAGGTGTATTAGAGCTTAGACTTTTAAAACGAATGGGATTGTGAGTGATGACTTCCGAAAGAGTAATGTTGGAAGTGGAAATTCTTTTTCGTGAGGACAGCTACAACCGAGAGCATGGCCTATAGGTCGTGGCCGGTGACGGTGCAAAGGAAGAAGACACAATGCAGTGGGTTTTTATGTTCGTGATGTCTTCTTCCTCTTTGTTGACACCATCAAAACAAATAACTGTTTTCATCCGGATGCCTGTTTCATACAAGCTCAGTCGAATGGTCCCTATCTGTCATGCAGCCTATTGAATGCTCATCTGATGTTAATTGATTTTTCACCCTACCTGTCCAGCTGGAATGGTGATTGGAGTAGAGGGAAGATTATCCAGGCTGTGCAGTCTCTCAGCCATCCAAGTTCCCTGACAAAATCATGTGCCACCTCGTTCCTTAGTGGCAAAGGGTCGTAGGCGCAGAGGTTAAAAGGTTGTTGAAAGTCTCATTTCTGTGTCATCATGAATCACAGGTTGGTGTCACTAGGAAAAATCCTAGTGTTATTGCAGGGGAAAAAAAAAAACCCCAAACATTTTGTAGTAGGCTCCAGTAGTAGTGATCTTTTCTAAAATAATGTATTTTAGGGGTGGGGTGGGGGAAGCATCCACAGTAAATTTTCACTGAAAGCTTTTTATGCAGCACTTAAACACTCAAGGCTGGGTGCCCTTCCTCCTTTTCAATTATGCAGTTTGGGTAAACTATAAGCAGTTACAGTTTTCTAATTAAACTTACATGCATCATAAGGCAGATGCATTGTATTATGAATAGACTATAAAGAATAAATGTTTTTGTTTAAACAATGGCATTGCATATAAAGCCACAGAGAAAGTTTATGAACAAAAAAACCCCTTGTATACAAGTGAACAGGATTGTGATCTCACAGGCTGTGAGGTTGTTATTTTTCTGTATTATGGTGGTTGTGGTCCCGCAGCACACGTTTTCTGTGAGAAACATTTCTGTAGAGGTGTGAGTCCTCCCAAAATCTATCATAGTTGAAAGTGGTGCAACTCCCACTTTAGGATTAAAAAAAAAAAAAGATAGTTTTATTTTGACTTTTTCCTCAAAAGGAAACTTTTGCTTTTTAATGTCTATATTTAAAAAAAAAGATTTATTAAGAGTGAAGTTGCAAATTCAAGTGATTCATGCATTTGTTTCTAAGGCACGATGAATAAGAGAACCAGCTCTGAAGTCTATGTAGATTCCCTGATACTCACTTTAGAAGGAAATAAGATAGAGTTAATCAACAGAAGTGAACTCTATTGAAGGTAAACATGTCCTGTGTTAATAACACTAGTAGTAATCCGCATCTTGATTCTTTTTTTTTTTTTTTTACAAGGCTGGATTTTTTGTCACTCTTACTGTCCTAACAAACCATCTTATCCCATGAGTTGCTTTTCTTACCAAAACAGTAGTTTATCAGTACTTGTGACCGCTCAGATACCACTCCGCTTCAGATATTCCTTGACGTGTACAGGAACAGAGTCTGATACAAGTACTGCACCAACAGCTAGTAAGCGTTAAGTATGGGTAGGAGTAACACGGTGGAAACTCAACCCACAACATCTCACTGGGCGCTTGCCCAGCTTGGGCACAGGAGTTGATACCAACTGCTTCCCTGTTTCCAGAGTTGAAGACGCCATATGACAGTAAGTGGGCTAGGTAGAACCTGCAGCTGGGCATGTACCACCCTCTGTCCATGCTATCACTGTTGCATCTTGCTAAGCTGCTCAAACTCCCATTTTCTCTGGATAGACATATTTTTTTGAGCCTTTTGTATTAGGAACTTGCCAGCTGAATTGGGGTGAAAAGTGTGTTGTAATTTTCTAGGCCAGCTGCAAAAGACCTCCGTGAAGAGGACTTTTGCAGATGGCCAAAGACTATTTTATAGATACTGAGGGAAGAGAGGGGCAATTCACAGCTGAATTCCCCTGTGGCTGACTATTTTGATGCCTAATTGTCTTTAAGGTGCCTCAGTCCTAATATGGGCATATTTATTATTTGGAATATAAAGAAAAGAAATTAATCTCATGGCTATAAAACTTGGAAATAACAACTAGAATTTGAACTTGTACGCAGCATACCCCTTCTTGGTTTTATTTGACAGCTTAAAAGAAGCAAGTACAAGCTGTTGCATTCAAATAACATTTATCTCAAGAGCGGTAATCAATGCTCACTTTGTTATGTTGATCATGTTGTACAATACATGGGCCTAAAAGCATCTGAAATCTGTGAGCTGTCTTTGGCATTGTATTTCTCATTTTTCTTTTCTGTCTTTCCAATTTGCTAAGTTTGCTGGAAATTTCATATAAAGACATGAACAATTCATGCATGCAGAACATATTGACTTCTGTTTTTCACTAACATTCATTGACCTTTTAGGTCAATAAATTTTGAAGTTGACTTAAGAAGTCAATAAGCCTTATTTTAATTTAGATTAAGTTTTAGTCTGATTCAGCACTCTGCTTCCCTTTTTATAAATTAAAAAAAGCTTATAACAATTTATTATTAAAATGTATGTCAACTAAGAACTGTTTCCTGTAGGTCTGGGAATCCCTGTCTGGATTATAATTTTTTGCTGTATTCCCAATGCGCCGTTTGAAAGTGACATTCCAGCCTCCCAGTGTGTACTCTGTCCCTCTAAACTGCTCTAACATCAATTGTAGAAAGTGATACAGATAATTAAACAAAACCATGTGAATTTCAGGAGCAAATGTTTTCCATCATGTTGGAATTTCACCTTACATGAGCAAATTCGACTTAAATTACATTTCCATCTGACATTATTAATTCCATCAAGGAAGCTTTGTGTAATATTAATTACAGATACCAATTATGTTATTTCATCTTTCCTTTCCATTGGAGCTTCAATAAAAATTCATCAAGTGAAGGACATGATTATCATAATAATTTTAAAAATCCACCTAAACTCTTTTACCACGTACACACAAAAACAGTAATAGCACTGGAATCATGCATGTGAGAGTGTACTTGTCAAAGTTTTGTGCACAATACATCCGTCAGTAAAAAGGAAGGGAGCATTTTCTCTACTGCATTTTTGGTTTACTGCCATGGGTGCTTTCCTTTGATAAAGTAATTTGGCAGACAGGTTCTTGCAGAAAGCAGTGCAGTGGTATTAACTTAAAATTTTTCTGCTTTTTCAATCTGTTTAGCACTTTCAAATGACATTGCTACTGGTGAAAAACCACTCTGAAGTCATGTTAAGCAGCCATATTTTGACCTTATAGAATTTTGACCATGCAGTATGGTCAGCTATTGCAACGTCACCTTAACTTCACTTGATATAATTGACAAAAATAGCCCTATTGTTTTTCAGTGGAAGAAAAAAAATGAGCAGAGAAATTATCAAACGGTATTTCAGATTTCAGCAATAAAGTAATTCGGAAAAAAAAACGGTTAACTGTGAGGAAATGCGTCACTCTAAGATAGCAGCTGATAGCTGGCAGATTCTAATATTAAGATTGGAGCTTCAACAACCCATAAATCCAGGTATCATCTACCACATTTGGGGTACTAATTTGATAATATAATAAAGGAAAACACTATAAATTGTAAGGAAAGTGTCTTTGAGGAAAGATCTGTAGTGTATGTAGAGGCAACATTCTGCACTGATTTCAAGTGCTAATGCTTGATTTTAGCATTAGCACTCTGGATCTGGGATGCACAGTGGTTAAGGCTGTAGAGACAATCCTCTTCATTTTGAATGAAATCCAGTGTATGTTTGTCTTTGCATTTAACTAGTACAGCTAATTCCTATTCCTGTTCATGTAACCCTAGATTTTTTTTTTTAGGGATTTGGAAGTAAGGACAGAAAAATGGTGTTGTGCATGTAACAGCGTTGTAAGCATTTCTACCTCCCCATTCATAGCTGCCATGCTGTTGTGATGGAACTGGAAACAACTGAAAGCACCAGTATATTTGCCAAGTATTATTGTGCATAGGCCATGAAACTGCTGTCATGTCACTTGCCTATTCATGGAAATACCTACATGTAGTTTCAGAGTATCTGCACCTTTGCTTTGACCTGCCCCTCCATTGCTTTGTATTGGCATTGCTTTGTATTGTATTTGTGTGTAGTGTTGGCACATAGTTGTTTTCACCATTGAATAATTTCCTTTTACAACTTCCTTTTTGAATGTATATGGTTGGCTAGTTATTCTTTGTTTGACATAGTTCCTTTTCACTTTCTGTTCAAAATTGCATGATAACTAGAGCTAAGAAACAATCTTCAAAGGGAATCCATGTTATTATGAGAAACGTTACAGATTTTCTTCTTTCCTTTAGGCATTGATTTTAAAGTAAAGCCAGTAACGTTTAATGATACAAGAGTGAAACTTCAAATATGGTAAGTTTTAATTTGTATCACAAATGAGAGCTAACTAAATTACATTACAGCATGAAAAATCTCATCTGCTTATAATTGTGTGTCTTCCTAAAGTGCAATTGTTCCTACTAGGTCATTTTAAAATTTGAATTTGGCCTAGGGGAGCATATTTTTTGCAGCAACTAATGTAAGTTAAAAAGAGGGTTGTCGCTACGTTGCTTTAACAATAAAACTTGCAGCATACAAGCAATGCAGATCTACGATCCATATTAAGTATATTTAATTGTATAGGAACATTGAGGGAAGTGGCAAAGCAAGAAAATTTTACATTTCATTACCCATCAAATGCATGTTCAGAAGGGTCACCGAGAGAAAGCTAGTAAGATGAATCTTTGGGAACCTACACTCTATTTTCTGTTTCTGAAGTTTTTCTAAAGGCTATATAGGGCTACTGAGAGCCATCTCGCCAGGCATACAATACCGAAGGTTATCTATATTTACCAGTATTTAACTTCTCAAGGAGTAGCTCTGTACATGAATTACCTGACCAGTACCAGATCTGCAGTTATTCCATCTCAGGTTTTAATACCAAAGTCTTGGAGGCTTGTTTACAGGTTTCTTAAGGCATAATTATGTGTAGGAATCTCTGCATCCCTGTATTTTATGGAGTTTTCCCAAAACCTACCTTCCATCTAAACCAGCTTACTGTCTGTGTCACAGTTTACAGAGGGCTTGTCAGAATATGGGATGTCATCTGACTGCTGCAGTGCTTGTACTCCAGATTTTTTTTATCACCTGAGTTGTACTGATCTTAATGATTATATACATAAAGAAGCAATGGTGGGCTTGAAGTTACACTCAGACTTCAACCGCTGGTTTAGCCTCCCTAGTAGGGCTGTATTACTCAGAATAAATTTCCAGTGTATTTCTTTCACTGCTGTATCTGGCACCCAGATTTTCTCTCATCCTTATCTTTTCTTGTTCCTTTCATGTTAGGGTACACCATTCAAAATTTGGACAATACTCCTTAAAGTGATTTTTCTTGGGGGTTCTGCAGTTTGATCATCTTTTGTTTGTTTGTTTGTTTGTTTGTGTGTGTGTGATTTCTTACAATTTCTTTCAGGGATACTGCTGGCCAGGAACGATTCCATACACTTAGTACTAGCTATTTTCGTGGCGCACAAGGCTTTGTTCTTGTATATGACATCACAAATCTGGACAGTTTTCAAAGTATAACAAGTTGGATGAAAGACATACATGAGGTAAATATATCTAACAGTGGTTGATCTCTTAATGAAGGCAGTTAATGAGTTACTGCAGTTAATGTTTTAAATGACTGCATGGGATTTATTCTTGTTCTTGAGCGGTATGTTTCTAACCAGTATTTCTTACATTTAACTCAGCACACAGTATGATAGTAGGATTACTGTTATCTGAAACTGGAATGCAGTGTAGATTATCCAAGACAAGCCCATGGTGATGCAGGAGTGTTTTCTGAAGTACTTTTAAAACATAGCTTCCAATCTGTTTTTGCGCATGCTGAGTTACGGTGCTTTTGTCACTGGTGTGGCTACGCGCAAGCCAATCTCCATGAGCTTATCCCAGGGTTTTAATTGGCTTCCATGTCAAAATTCCATATACCAGCCAGTGATTTCCCTTTCGTAATTTCATTACTTCAGTGTAGTTACCTCATCCCAAGAATCAAAAGAAACAAATCAAATCAAACATCCTCTTTGTCCTTGCTGGATATTCCCTTTGAGAGGATGGTTTCAAGAGGGAGGAACTGGGGGAGGAAAAGGAGAATCCCTTTTTGGTGGCAGTGAGCTGTTTGGTTAGCTCAGCTGCTTGTGGTACTGCAGCCAGAAACACGTGCTTTCATGTGACATAGGAAGTGATTCAACAGCACATGGCTGCCCTACAGCGAGTGTGTTCCCACCTCCCTTCCTGAATGTTGGCTCCCACTGTGCTGCTTCTGGAGCTTGTCAGAGCCGTCTGAGGTTCACTGACTCTCTAATGTCGTAGAAAACGTAACACAGCAAAATGAGTTGGATGGTTTTCTGCTCCATCAGTGAGTTTAAGGGGTTCATAGAAAGGCCTGACAGTTACTGGAGTTGGCGCAAGGTAAAGGGGTAGGAGTAGGAAGGCCAGGAGAAGAACATGTGGGAACAATGTGAGGGAGGAACCAGGGATGGAGGAGTGGGCAAGCCCTTAGACCTGAGATCATTCAGCTGCCTGTAACTCTGTACCCTGAGTCTTTATTGCTAGGTGTCTCTTAATGTGTTCTCTGTTAGGTAGAGGCAGGTCAGTTTTAGAACACAACAGGTCAGCTGGAAGGCACCTACAACCATCATCTAGTCCAGCTGCCTTACCACTTCAGGGCTGACCAAAAGTTAAAGCATGTTGTTAAGGGCGTTGTCCAAATGCCTCTTAAACACTGACAGGCTTGAGGCATCGACCACCTCTCGAGGAAGCCTGTTCCTGTGTTTGACCACCCTCTCCATAAAGAAATGTTTCCTGATGTCCAGTTTAAACCTCCCCTGGTGCAGCTTTGAACCATTCCCACGTGTCCTGTCACTGGATAACAGGGAGAAGAGATCAGCACCTCCCTCTCCGCTTCCCCTCCTCAGGAAGCTGCAGAGAGCAATGAGGTCGCCCTAAGCAGTAGCATGGAAGTTTGTAGTGAGCATGCTTATATAAGGTAGTATGCTTGTGTAAGAATCCAAGCAAGATAGTGCTCTTTGTTGATTAAAACCAAGTAAACATTCAGGCAGTTTTTGTAATACTCTGTGAATTGGTAGGAATATGACATAACGGATGGGAGAGTTCATCTCGGGAAAGCGGGCTCAAAATAAAACCATCAAACGCATCCTTTTCTCCCTTCACAGCTTCAGTGTACGGATGAATTAATGAACTACACATGGTCATATAGCCAATAATATATACATAGGATATCTTACAGTCTTGGTAAAACATTACATTTACATTACCTCAGTATTAAGAACATTACTATGATGACCTAGTACGTCACTATCCTTGACCTTAGAGCCATCTTAAAAGTCTTAGTGGCAACAGAGCCTAACTTCAGTAATGTGCTGCAGAGGAGATTTGATGATACAGTATTCTTACTGGCTTGTCTGCACACAGTTCAAACTAACACATGTGTTTTATTACTTCGTTAAGAAAAGTGTGTGCCCACCTCCTCATAGGCAAACCAACAAAAGTCACAGCTAGATATGGTTGTACAGTTTCATGGTTAGCTAAGATTTAACTCAGCACGCAGTATGATAGTAAGTTTACTGTTATCTGAAGCTGAAAATTTAGATTATCCAGCTATATCCATTTTTATATGTATATCTATATCTATATATGCATCTATCTATCTATCTGCGTGTATAAATTTATATATAAAATATTGATCTGTCTTCAGACTGCCTCCAAAGGGGTCATTTTGCCCTGTCATCTTTAATTAGATCAACAGGATGGTTGATTCAGTGGGCTACAATGCACAACCATAAACACAAAGAAAGTATCAGAACCGTATGGCTAGGGTGGAGGGAAGGCTGGGACTGGCTCTTGTAGCCACCATGCAGGCTTAGATCTGCTTAAGTCAGTCAGGAAATCACACCTGCACAAGCCTGCTTTCTGTCCGTGACACTTAAAAGTTTTTGTGTAAACTTACCCAAGTTATTACTATTTAGATTGTTTAATCTTAACCCCTGAAGGTACTTCGTTAGTTCAAAATTTAAAAAATGGAAAAATACTCAATTTAAAACAATTTCTGGGAATGTAAATTGCATGATTGATTGTACCAATCTCAAAACTAGCAATTAGTGAGTGTTGTAATAGAGCTAGATAATAATAAAAAGTTTAATTTAGTCCTAGTGGGATATCAATTTCTGAAGTGTCTTGGTGAAAATATATGGGGCCATTCATTGCAAAAGAAGTGTTTTTAAGCAATAACTGTTAAAACACAGGGCATTTCATGAAAATTAATTACTTACTGGAGGTTGGTGACATTCCCTGCATTTGCTTTGGTCTGTGAATGCAAACCAGTATTTAATTCTTCACAAATGCCCAGTATCAAAGTGGCTGTTGCTACAGCACCCTTTAAAATCTGCAAGTGTAGAAAAACTAAATAAAATTTAAAAAGGGAAACAGATACAGGTTTCATTAAACACCAGACTAATAGGTAATGTAAAGCTTGCACCTGAACCAATCAAACGGGATTTTTGAGAAAATTCAGTTATTATATTATGCTTTCATTTTTTAATTCTTTGTACATAGAGATTTTAAATAAAGTTTTTTAAAAATCTGTTCAGTGTGCTAAGCCATTTTTACAACAGTTGAAAATAACAATCTAAGCAATTTAGCATTCCTAAAAACACCGTTGATTTTATAAAAACTGGCCAGTCAGTGCTATTACAATCAGATTACCAGTAATGTTCTCATTGTATTTCAATTATTATAAGTGTGGAATACAGCAACTTTCCTGTTAAAAATTAATTATTGTTCAAGGAAGTTCAAGACACAAATATGCTGCCATATCTGTATTGTTGTAAAATTTGTATTCAGAACTAGGGGAAACTAAGTAACATGACTGTGCTTAAAAAGCTTACTAGAAAAATACACTCACAGATGAATATCTTAGGACATGATTGGTAAATCCAATACAGGTATATTGGATTTGTAATGCACTCATTAGGAACATGATAATTGCAGGGAAATTACTTTAGAACCTGAAACCATTCTTTATTTGTAGGATTGCTGGTCATGTCCAATTTATTAAGTTGTTCTTCTTGTCTGCTGACATGGCTTTTAGCTATTGTATGCAGCTGTTCTGAAAGGCTGATTCTGTTTTGCCTTTAAAAATCAAATGCAAGTAACCGTGTACCAAATCCATTTGCAGAAAACAGTTCTTTCCAGGATGTTTTGAACAAGATTCCAGCTAAGATATTGGCAAAAAGTTCCTCACAATAGAGTGGTCAAATGCTCAAACAGGTGCCCAGAGAGGATCTGGAGATAATTAAAACTGGATTCAACAGGGCCTTGAGCAACCTGACCTGACTTTGAAGTTGGCCCGTCTTCGAGCAGGGGGTTAGACCAGATGACTTCCAGAAGTCCTTGCCAACCTAAATCACTCCATGATTCATGCATGACATCTGGGTTGCCAAAAACTTTTGAGTTAGATGGTAGGTTCTAGTGTTCTTTTAAACACATTGGACTGGGTTTCATTGTGCTGGTCTCCTGGTGTAGCCGTGAAGGTGGCGTTACCAGTTCCTAACAATTATTTCCATGCTGGAAATTCTCTGCTAGCACAGAATTTTCTGCATGGGGAAGGTAAACTCATTTTCTCATGCAGTAGCAAGTCTTGGTGATGTAATTTAGTGTTCTTGGAATATATTAGCTTTCTATTTGTACTACCTGAAGAAGTGACCCCTCAACCAGGCTATGAAATGTATGGGTGTGTTGGGTTACTGCCATTTTTCCATAGTGCCCTTTTCTGGTTCTGTTTATTTGATGCATCTGAGAGTTGGGATACTGGACTGTCTTTCAGTGTTTCTGCATCATACTTAAATAAAAGCAGCACAGCAAACTGCTTTACAAATGTGAATTAGTTTGACTTCAAACTCTTCTGAGTTTTTCTTCGTCAGATGGGAAAGCTTGATGTCAAAAGGATCGAATTGTTCCAGTTCATAGATGGGTTTGTTGTTATGGCTCTGATTAGAACTGAATATTCTTGTTCTTGTCACTTTACTAAGTTGGTTTGTCTCTAATCCCAGGTTGGTTTCAGGATAAATTGGTTTATATCTAGTGGTGTCTAAGTTGGCTAATACACAAACAAATTCTATCATTTGTTTATTTTCGCTGAAGTCCTGGAAACTAGGCATTTGTAACTGAGGTCATAAGGTGACACTTAGAAAAATACATGGAAAAAGACATGTATGGGAATCATAATGTGAACACTGCCCATGTGATGCTGTCAAAGAGACTGTGAGGACAATGTATTCCTAACAAATTACTCTTCATTAATACAAAGGGTAAGTTTCTGGTGTCATTGTCTAGTGAGTAGGAAGAAGAAACTTCCCAGCTTTATGGCCTTCCCCAGCTCTGCCTTCATCTTGCTGCGTGACCATGTGTATCCTCTTCAGATCTGAAAAGTTATATTAATGCTACGTTTCTTCCTCAAATACAACCTAATTAACTATTACCATAGTGTATTTATCAGGTATGGGTTCTCAATTTCACTGTTTGGACCTACAAACAAACTTCTGTTCCTTTTTCAAACTGTAATCAGTGAGTATCAAAATCATGCAGCCCTGCACAGCTACGCCCTGGAAATGCGGTGGAGGGACAAGGTGGTGATCCTGTAAGATCTGTCACTGGATAGACAGCTTTATACAACAAGGAGTCTGGATGAGCTGGTTGGTAATCACGGTCAGTTTGCTGCAGGGGAGGTTGAGGCCAGCCATTCGCAGTAGGGTTTGCGTGAAGGGATAGTTTATTCCAATAAACTGTAAGTACAAATGTGACGTAGTTCTCTTTCAATGAAGGTGCCTGTGCTACATTTGATACTCATGTGAATTCACAGCACTTCTGTGAAATAGTTTCCCTGCAAAATGAGAACAACTGCAGAAAAAAAGACCTAACATTTGGAAAAAAAAAACCAAATTACATACAAAAGGGATGAGCAAGATATTTTCCCTTTTGCATTTTTGATTTCTGTTAATAGCCACATAGTCAATCAGTGAGTTGGGTATTTACCTGGTTGGGCGCACAGGCTAGGTGAAAGTTGAGCAGTACGGTAATTAGTGAAGGACATGGGTGGATGGCTCCTATCAGAGTAGGCTGCTAAAGCGCACCATGGTACTCTGGTTCGAGAGTCCAGTGTTCCTAGTCCAGTCCGTTGCACTGCTGCCTTTGAGGCTCTGGTGCTGCTCCCTCCTGTGGCCACTGATCACAGCAGCCTGGCTCCCACCGCTGCTGAATCCAGTGAGGTAGAAACCCGTTTGCCAAAACCTGATGACTCCAAGCTCTGCCAAGCACTTCAAAAAACTTGGTCAGTCTCAATAAATCTCTTGGCTCCAATTTTTTGAGAGAAATATAGTGCCGATATTTCCTTTTTGGACGTTTTAAAAAAAAAAAGGCTAGGTTTTGTCCAAGTTCAGATTATTTTTATTTTAAATTTCAGTAAAATGTGAACTTTGAAATGTTACAACTAGAAGAAAAACTGAAGAGAGTGAACCAAAAATCTGGATGTATTTTTGAGATACCAAAGCAAAACACTTTCTTTTTTACTTCTCAAAAAAAATTTTTCTTTTTGCCTCAATGAAATTGAGGAAATTTTTAATAGTATTTTTCCATGACATGGGAAAAAAAAGTTTCCTGATGCTATTAGCTTAGTCAGTGCTGACTTGCATAATAGCATCTCAACAACTGTAAAATAACCATCCTCTTTTTAGCTATAGATTTTGCATTTGGAAAGCTTATTCCTGAGCTATAAATAAAAGAGGATGAAAATACACAGTGAGCTTTTGGAAGCATTGAAGAGCCATATTTTTGGCCAATTCAAATCAGTGTACCTCTGCAGTTTTTATGCCAACTGAGCACATGGTCAAACTTCTGCCTAGTCATATTGACTTAATTTTTTAAGACTTCATCTACATAATCAGTTTTCAGAATTGAACATGGATGCCATTTTGGTGTTTTTCGTTTTCTAAAAGCAAGAAATGGCAAGATACCATCTTTAAAAAAGGAATACTTTCAGTCCTTTGGTGGAGGATCCAGTCAAAGTGAAAATACATTATTACATTATATTGATGTAGAAATAATAGTTATTTGCTGAAATAAATACTTAGTTATTGGTAATACTGATAAGTACTTACTGAAAGGCCTGGTACCTCTAACCTCCTTTAAATTTTGTTATTATTTGAAGCTGTTTAGAAAGAACATTCCTACTGCAAATATTTGTGCTGTTTGTACAGTAATAAAGGTACAGGATGAATTTCATGGTTTTGTACATACAGTATGCAAGTATTTCCCTTTGACCTTTTACTTCAGGGTAAAGTCGAACGTCACTTGTAAAACCTTCAGCTACGTACAGGCTCCTTTCAAATAAAAAGTTGATTGTGTGATTAAATTGTCTATTTACCCTATTTTAGGGACTGATGTATGTGATTTTACGTAGGAGAGCCATTGACCTTAATGAGTAAAGCTCCAATGCACTCTGAAACAGCCAACATTTTGGTCTATTAATCCAGGTTAGATTGATTCATTATTTTAGGCCTGTACTTTGTACTCTTATGTTGAACTTACTTCATTTTAATACTACATTATCTTGAACATCAACTGTGGATATGAAATGAGATTAGCCGACTCGAAAATGAGAGTGGATTAAAAAAAATGAAATAGTGTTCCTTCATAATAAATTGTGCCTACTGCTGTACTCTTCAAATGAGGTAACTTAGTTGTAAAAGTGCAAATAGACTAAAAATAATGATTCTCTCATCCTTTAATGAATAGAGGTTTTCCTTTGCATTTCTCTGAAGGGAGGTACATATGTGTGTGTGTGTGTGTGAGCTCTGGGGAAGAGGATTGTGCCTGATTTTGTCTTACGGCAAAGTTATAAAAGTTAAGACTTTGACAGAGATCAGAGATTTCATCAGCATCCTTGTAGAGAGATCTGCCACCTGAGACCAGGCTTTTTGAGTCACCAGAGCAGCTGTGTGAGCATATACTTTCAGAATATAGGCCATGGGATCAGACCACGTTAGCTGTAATTGTCTAGATCGAGACCCTCGGCTTCCTCCATTTAAGCGCCAAAAGTGGTTTTAAATACTATGATTTTCACAACAAATGTCAGTTTTCAAATTCCACATGCTGTTGCAGAACTGTTCCCTTTCCTTGTCACTATTCCAGTCATGTATAGTTACAATGGCTTATCTTAAAATAACACTGATGTAAAGCACTCAGTGCATTTCACAGCCATCATGTATGTAACTGGATTAGTGGAACGAAGGATGGAGACAAAGTCAAAAAGCTAGATTTTTCTTCCTTTTGAAATCAATGAGGTTTTTAAATTTTACTTCATTAAAAATCTATTGCCTTCTTCCGAGTGTCTTGGAATAATCAAACTTTTATGTTGAGTTTGAACACTTTGAATGTAATTTTACTGTCTGTGTGCAGAAGTGAAGCACAGAGAGGTGCTCTTTCAGGTGCAGCAAATTCCTTCCTTTTTACTTTTGAGTGCTGGATGTAGACCAGACTCATATGCTAATCCATGAACCCATTACTTTAGGGAGGGCAGTGTCTGTGAATTCAGGGCACTTCCAGGCACTTTAAAGCCTCAAGATGGCGCATTCATCAGAATACAGTGGCCATGCACCATACCTTATGAAAGCGGTTGGAAATTATGCCCTGTACTTGTAAGTGGCTTTTTTCTGCTCTTTGCAATCTTGATGTTTTCCTCCAAATCCCAGTAACTGACAGAAAATATTTCCACATATGAAAAGGTCAGGACAGAATTCAGCCTTTACTTTCAAGGAAATAAAGTGTTGAAGGTTCGTGTGAGCTGAAGGTGAAGGGCTTTTGTTGTTTGCTTTTTTCTGACTTGACACTTATTAATGCTGGTTCTCTTTTAGAAAGCAGGTGATGAAGTGGACGTAATACTGTTGGGCAACAAGTGTGATAAGGAGTCAGAACGTGTAGTTCCAAAACAGAAAGGAGAAAAGGTATCACTGGTACTTTCTTTGGGTTCTCCTGAGGATCTTAGTGTGTGACTGTGAGCTGTTACACTGAAAATGATAAAAAGCTCCTGAATTCCAAAAATTCTGTTAGGAATTGCTCCAGAAGAACAGTTGTGGAGTTCTGGAGTGTTGGGGTTTTTTTAAAATATGAGCAGAAATACATTGAGTAACTCCTAGCTGATCTCTTTAGAATACTGATTTTTATTTTAAAGGTTAAAATGTACTTTAAAAGTTTTAGGTGTTACGATAGGAATCTTATATTTTGAATTAAAACTAAAAATATTTTAGAGCCTGCATTTTCAGACTACTGTTTTAATGTGGAATACTAAAATGCAATGCATAATACATTCTGCATATTTTTTCTGGTGCCACCCATCAATGATTTTTTTGCTACAGCCTGACTATAAAGAACTATTCTGGCAGCCTGTGCACAGTGATCTGCATTGTCTATGAATAGCCCTAAATAATACTGGACAGATACATTTAGGGAACATCCAGCTCCCCTAGATCTAACTATATGTGTCATACAGCTGAGACTACAGTATAGTTTATACCTGCTGACCATGAGTAGGGGAAGAACTGGTGTTAAGTGGGGAGTGCTGTTTTAAAGGCGATGGCAAATTACTCTCACTGAGAACCAATGAGGAAATCCAGGAGCCATGCTATGGCAGAAGAAATTGTGATAATGACTAAATGTCGCGGGAGAGCGTGTCCTATATACCAGTAAATTTTGCAACTGCAACTGTATGCATCTGTTGTCTGGAACTGTTGTCTGAGCCCTTCTATTACGCTTTCAGGCATGGTAAGTCACACAGGATGTCTTGTGTTTAAAGAAAAGAACACTGATAGTTTCTTGCCAATTACATAATCCCAGATTAGGGAACTTTAAAAAATAGCATCACCTTTTCAACAGCATTACAAATAGGAACTTTTGAAAGTTCATTGTTCGTATGCAAGACACTTTAAATGTTAATGTACTGTGTACAAGGAATAAGGTTGCTGAAAAAGAGATGTATACTCTCACTCAAAGAATGCACTCTCAGAAATCTGAAGAGTCACTGGATGCATGTGCACAAGAGGGCAGTAGTAGGGTTTTGCATATGGTATTAACCGTGACATTTTCTGACTTCTGTGTACTTAACCATGCGATCAAAATATCTCTTAACGTAGTATTTTTTTCCGAAACAAATCATTACCTCCTCACCAGTGAGTCTGCTTTCTAGATTTCTCATGTGTTTTGAGGCAAGGCAACTCTTCAGTTACACTATTTCTTCTTTTAATGTGATTTACAAATGCTAAAGAATCTGACTGAACCAGCTGGAGAAAGATGCCATTAGCACAGAGCGAGCTAATAATTGTCCTCTCACTCCAAAGAAGAAAATATCCTTATTAAGAGGGGAAAATAGTTTGATATGAACTCTGCCACATAATAATTCATACTTACATATTTCATACTACCCTGTGAGTATGAGCTGTAAGTATTGTTCTGTTCAGAGTCTTGCAGAGAAGACCCCTACATTTTCTGGGAATCTTATCATTTATGTTGGCATTTCTATAACAATCTGTCATAACTGAGTGGCCATTGTGTGCCCCTTTATAGACTAATTTAATGCTGAGAAATTTTTTGTTTGTGTTATTTTGTAATTATATAATTTTGATCACTCAGAAATGGATATCTTTAATTTTAACACTATGAAGTGTTTTCTTGTATTAATAGTTTTTTATTCACTTTGAGAAAAGTTTGAACTCAACCTTCTTGGGCTCCTCTGTCCCCCGTCCCCAGTAACATTATCTTTTTCTCTGAAAAATAACTAAAAATGTTGAAGGTATATGACTTGGTAGAATGTGGCTGCTGTTCTCCTATCAAATCCTTCTAACAGAAAGAGCCAAGTAAAATATTACTCCTTTTTTTTCTTTTGCTGTCTTTTGCTGTCCTCATGTGCCTGACTTCAAAGCTGATTTTACAGGTACAATACAAATGAAAAAAAACTTTCTGCACATTTCAGACACATCTCTCTGATTGAACACTAAGAAATCCTAGCAGCGCTTTGCTAGGAAGTAGTATATTTTGAGTTAAAAGAAATGAACAATTGGAATTAAATTTCACCTTGGAAGAGATATTGGCATTACTTATTTTGTTATTGTAAGTAAGATATGAGCTTATTTCACTCAGGATCTCCAAACTGTTCTCAAGGATCATAAAAAATAACATTTCCCAGTCGCATAATTCCCATAGGTTTGTAAATGTATTTAGGTATTTTATTTATGGATCTATTCAAGATGCTTCCAAAGGCAAAAAAAAGTAATTCTTTGAATGTGCCTTTCCAGTTTCTTTACGAGAGGGAATAGCCAAAGCTGTGTTCATACTGCCAATTGCTTTAACACTGGACTGTTGGGTTTTTTTCCATCTAGCTACATTTTTAGAGGACATGCTTGCCACGATACTCATCAGTATGCACGGTGAATTGTAATAATACATGCATTAATGTTCTTTGACCAATATTGTGCACATACAGAGAAAATGGGAGTGCATTGATAGGTGTAGTAGGCAATGTAGTAACATGATACAGAGAAGGCTGAAATACTCAAGGTTTTTTAATTTAATTTTATTTTATTTTTCTTTTGCATTGGTCTTCACAGATGGAGCTTGCTCCCAGACCTCTGCATGTACTGGCATGGTTTGGGAAGGAGCAGGTCAGCCAGCAGTGGGAAAGCATTGGATTAGAAACTGCTTAGGAAAGTTGGATGTATCCATCGACACGATGAAGTTCACCCAATTGTGCTGAAAGAGGTGGTCAATGTGATTGGGGCCACTATCAGTCAACTCTGAAAAATCATGGTGGTTGGGAGACATCCCTGTTGACTAGAAAGATGCCAGCATGCCACCTATCTTTAACAAAGGCAAGGAAGAGGGCCCAGGGAACTATAGTCAGTCAGCCTTGCTTCAGTCAGTGGAAGCATCGTGGAGCATGTTGTCATCAAATCCTTTTCCAAGGACATAAAGGACACAAAGATAATCTGGAATTGTCAACAGAGGGCAAAGTGCGCTTTACCACTCTGGCTGCCTTATATGATGCCAGGAAATGGCAAGGGAATAGCAGTGGTTGTGATGTATCTTGAATTTAATAAGGCTTTTGTCACTCTCTCCCATGGCATCCTCGCTTGGAAGCTAGGAAATGTGGGCGGGACAGGTAGACCATTGGTGGACTGAAAATTGGCTGGACTACCAGAGGCAAAGGGTAGCGATTGAAGGCTGTGTGTCTGGTTGTTAGCTAGTACTGAGCAGAGTACATCGGGGTGTGTAGTGGGGCTCACATTGTTCAACATCTTAATCGGTGATCTGGCTGATGGTACAAGGAGATTTGCATGTGACATGAGGTTAAGGGGTGTGACTGGCACACCAAATGGAAGAACACCAATTCAGTGGAACCTTGATAAACTTGAGAACTGGGCCAACAGAAGCATCATGAAATTCAGTAAGAAGTGCAAAGATTTACACCTGGGATGGAATAATCCCAGGCATGAGTCACTACCCTGCACTGCAAAAGACTGGCGGGTTACAATGAACACCAGCTTGAATATAAGTCAACGGTGTTCTCTCATTGCTTAATAGCATGCTGGGCTACATTAGAAGGATAATGGATGGTAGACCTGGAGAGACTATTACCCCCCCTACTTAGTGCTGGCAAGGCCACATGGAATATTGTGTCCAGCTTTGGCTCTCCCTTTTCAAGAAGGGTGTTGAGAAACTGCAGAGGGTCCAGCAGACAGTTGCAAAGATGATTGGGGCCTAGTACCAGTAATCCATGAGGAGAACTGAGGGAGCTGGGTAAAGAGGAGGCTAAGGAGCCGTTATTGGTCTACAGCAATTGAAGTGTAGAGGAATGACAGAGACTCACTGAGACTCTTCTCAGTGGAGACAGACAATAAAGCAAAGGGCAGCAGACACAAGTCCTGGCTTGGGACGTTCAGGTTGGAGATAAGGAGAACCGGTTGCACTAGAAGGGTGATGTAGTCATGGAAGAGGGTCCCATAAAGGTTATAGAATCTCCTTCGTTGGCGGATTTCAAGACTCAGGTAGGCAAAGCTGTGGCTGACCCCATATCATATGGGCAGTAGTCCCATTTCAAGTGGGGTTATCTTTCCAAATTATTTCTGTGATTCCATGATTAAAATGGTTTGTGTTCATCGGAGTTTGTATATAGGTAGCCTCTAGGAATCTGTTACATGACACAAAAAAGAAAAAACGAATATTTAATAGTAGATTGTGTGTACTTTATAAGCTGCAAACCAGTCGTCTTCACTTTATTAGCCCAGTATTTTTTATTGCCTGTCTTTTTCTTTATGAACCATTATGCATCATTGTTTTGCATTGACACTTGCCGATAGTCAAATGATCCTAACTTCCCATAACAAATTGCTGCAGTACCGAAGACAGTTCACAGCAGTCAGCTGGAGTTTTAGGATCCCTTATGAAGCAGTCTGTCTTAAGAAACAGGCCAGAACTCATCTTTATTTTCAAAATTACATTTTCTTACAGCATTTTGGAAAAGAAACCATTTTGCTTACTTTTTTTTCTACCTTTACTATAATCTTTATTATATTTTGACTAAAACTTTGAAGTCCAATTCTTGTACCTTCATGCCTGATTTTGGAATTTTTGTAAAGCATTGATTTGTTACTTCTAGAGCTCATTGAAAGCAAACATAACTGCCAACATTAGACTTTTTATCCTAATGGAGAGCCTTCCCAATAAATCATTAAGTGGTCAGTAATTATAGGATTTTCTATACATTATAAGCAGTAGGGTATTTTCTTTGCGTGGAATCGTCTTCTCGAGGTGTGTACCAAGAAGGGATCCATTGCAGAGGGAATAAATAGACTCTCCCACTGTGTTTTTCTGGCAGATATTATTCCTACCTTGGCCCCCTCCCTTGGCAGGCAACGATGCAACTGTTTTTCTCCATGTATTTAACTGTATAAATTAGAAAAAGTTTAGACCTTAAAAAGCTATGAATTTTGTTGTGTTTTTTTTTCCTCATGCCAACATATCTCTAAGCTATCTGTAAGGGAAATACACTGGAAAGGAGAGAACATGAGTAAATTAAATAAAATCAACCAATGTAAAGTCTATGCCGCCCTTTTCTTCTAAGTATTGTCTCTCTTCTTGTATTACTATAATATATTTTGACATACGTACGTGTTCTTTGCTTGCCTATTATCTCTGTGCTTCTCTCTCTCTGGTAAAAAGGAGCATCTCTTTTTTATATTTCATCATGCCTCTTTTTCTATGGTTTTTGTCACATTTTTATCTATACCTTTATGCAGGCACTCCATTAGTTTCCTTTAAATAATTGCCTAGGGGACAGTTCATTTTCCAAATAAATCAAAACACTGAGAACAGACCCAGTAGAGTTTATTCTTATTTACAAGTAAATATAGGTTAAAAAAGCTGTTTTGAAATGCAACAATTTAAGATGACTGTTTTAAGAGTTACCTGAAATTTATAAACTGAGGGTGAGTATAGAGTACTTTACTGAGCTGACATTTACTTCATCAGTGTTTATATAGCATGTTAGATGCTGTCAGAACACCTCCATATCTCTTGCTATTAGTATTAAGAAGTGTTTTTTTCCTAAAGACTGTTCATCCCATTGCCTACATTTGTTTTTCAGCTTGCTTGGGAACATGGAATACCCTTTTTTGAAACCAGTGCTAAAGATAATGTGAACATTGAGCATGCATTCTCAGTCTTGACTAAGGAAATACTGGAAAAGGTAGGCTCCTTTTTTGAGTAGAAAGAAAATGGGAGATTTCTCTTGACAGATTGGGTAAACAAGGTTGTAAATAAAGAAGAGGTTTAGCAAAGCACAGCCACTGCTGTTTTTGCATTATCGAGTTAATATTTTGGGGGGATCCTGTAGCTGTAAACATATAGAGGAGGAACATGGGGGAGAAGAATTATGGGAGAAGAGAACAACAAAAGACGGGAGCAGGTAAAATACAGTTCAGAGAGAAGGTTAAAATTCAGGAAAACTGCATTTGTGGCTTTCCTTCCCATGCTTTTTTTCAAGGGAGAGGTTAACAGCTCTAGAGTGGTTCCACTTCTGTGCCAGGAAGATTCCTTTTCCCTGTAGGTTTCTGCAGAATATGCACACTGTGAATATGCTGCATGCTGATGGAGTGAGCGGACCTTTTATGTTCAGCAATCAAATGTTTTATCCAAAGTTCATAGCTGTTTGTTTGGATGATTTACGCTAGTGCTTTTGAAGTTATTAGGACCTAAAGATTTGAGTTAATTAGTGATAGAATCAATATTGTCGCTGTCAGAGTCAGCATCTCTAACTACCTCGAGTGTGTTGGCTTAAAGGTCCTTAATCCTCAGAGTTGCAATACTTTTGTAGGACTGAATTATTGTTAATTAGCTCTGAAAATGTTTTGCATCGCAATTTATTTTCAGACAGTTAGAATATTATTTTAGACATTAATGGATGTTCTTCATGCAATGCATTATCATTGCCATTCATCACCAATATTAGTTATACAAAACTAACCTTCTATTCCGAATACTCTTGAAGTCATAATAAAGATAAATGAGCAAAATTACTGACAAAGTCACAAGTTGCAGTCTTTTGATTAAGTAGCCATAGGGGATGGTCAGAATAATAGCTCAGGGTTGGACTGCTTCTAAATCAAGGTCCTGTCATATTATACAATAACACAAGCTGTAGTTGGTTATTTTGGGGGAGAAAAAAGAAGAAAAAAAAGCTTTTGATTTCTTTAGCATGAAAATGAAGCTCAGCAACTAAACAGTCAAATACTGTTTAGAATAGGAAGATAATGGCAGGTCCTTGAATAGTTGGTAAAAAGTCTCACGTAAGATAACTCTGATTTTCTTGTAAATGAAAAAGACATTGTCTACTGTAAATAGAGAATATATTTGTTAGTATGAAGCATGAAAACTACAAAACAGTAGCTACGATCATAACTGCTGCAAAGACAAATATGTGTGAAGCGAGCATTTCTGCACAGTGCGTTTGGGTAAGATCCGAGATAATTCTCTGCAGTGTGCAGAAATGATATTTGGGTATTTCTCACATTAAGATTGCCTGTGCTTATTTTATTTTAAGTGAAACTTCAGTATTCCTACTCATCCTCATGAAAATTCATGGGTTTTGTAGTGTGGACACGCAGACAAATTCAGGCCACATTGAAAATGTTATACCGCTGCATGGCTTTAATTAGAACTGCTTGAGAATACAGTTGTACAGTCTGTGTGCATGTATGTGTGTTTGAAAAATATGTCCGTAAGAATTTGTCAAGTTTGTCTGTAGTAACATTTCACCTTATCTAAAAATGTTTGCAATCCCTGATGGGGCATCATGTACCATTACTTTGGTGTATAATTTGCCATTTTTAATGCAATGCATTTGTTGATTTAAACAAGGACTCCTTTAGCCCAATTGGTTTTGCCACTGGCCTGATAAGAAAGAGTTCACAGTAAAAAAAATAAATCTACCATACAGTTTCATCATGGTTTTCAGGTTCGACAAAATAATTTGCTTGCTCACAAAACTGTGAAATCTGAATGTAGTACTTGAATTTTAACTTCTTCTAACTGATGAAATTTTGGAGAAGGGAAAATGCAGTAGGAAGCGTGACTAGTAGCTGTGAAAAATGACTTGATAGATGCCAGTCTGAGATCACTTCAGTTGTACATCCATTCTGTAGTGGTAAAATATGTACTTGCTGATTGTAAAAAGGAGATACAGCTTTGCACCGTGTTTTGGCCCAAGACACCTACGTCTGAGGTAGCAGGACGGCAGGCCTCCCTTACTTCTGCAATAGGACCACCTGTCCCAGACTGATGAGATGCTTCAGTGGAAGCATGCCATTGCTTTGCCAGCCCCACAGAGGAAACTCGTTTTAAGGAACTCCCTAGAAAAGTCTATTATGGCCATGCTTTTGGGAAGTAGGTGGTGGTCATTCAGAAGTGAGAGAGATAGGCAGGGCAGGCTGGCAGGCAGTAGGCCATTTTCAGATGCATTGCAGCAGGCTGTATTAATCTGAGGACATCTAGGATTTTTTATATACACACTTGTTCACCATATACGGGCATTTCTTTATTAACTAAATCTAAAGAAAACACTCCTGTAGATGGGGACGATCAACGTCTGGAGTTATAGAGCTCATACAGAAGTAATGAGCTTCTTGATTCCCTTGAAATTTATAACAAGTTGTGGTTCAGTGGAGGGTTGGGAAAAAACCACATTAAAATGTGTCAGACATAAAAAAAAAAAGGCAAGTTTGTATTGTCATTATTTTGTGCTGCATTTTCCTGTCTCTTCTTCTGTGGTTTTACTTGTAGTGGGCTTAAGGGAGAGAGAAGACTTCTGTATCCCAGCGATTCAGATAACTAAAGCGCTGCTTGACCTTTCAGATGTTTATCATCTCAGCCAGTCTATGCTGGGTCTTAATCCTATAGCTCTAACTTACATGGGTAGTAGTCTCATTAAAACAATCAGATGTTATTTGACAGCTTACATTGGTAACAGCTAAGGAGTCTTGCCATATTTTTGAGAACTCATGATTTTCAAACCAATCAGTTAATAATAACTGATTTGATTGTATTAGAAAGGCTGCAGTGGAAACGAATGTTAATGACACAGCTTATTTCAGAGGTTTGCTTAGACATGTTGACAAATAACAACGGTATTTTATTTATTCACAATTCTTAAGAGTCTCGGATATGCCTAAACCTGTTCATTAATGGATGGCAGCTGTTCCTTAACAGTGCTTCTGGTTGCCAGTGAACTATTTGTACTTGTGAGTCAGTCCTCAAAAAACAACCAAAACCAAAAAAATACCACCCAGAATGCAGTTAGTATTTGCACTTTTGTGTTGCTTGGTTTCATGGCTGACGAACAGTGCTCTTCTTAACTAGCTTTTTAAAAAAATATTACAAGCCTTTGCATTTCTGTCTTTGTGGGTGTGGTGGTTAGTATTTTTCTAAACTAGGAGCAGAAGGAGGGAAACTGTGTTCAACAAAAAGAAAAATAAATGAAGTTTTTGCCCTTTTCTGAAGACTGCTATAAAACTAACCAAAACTTATGTTCTGCCTACCTCCCAAGAGTGATTGACTACTAAGATTGTTTTAATATAATATTAAATAAACATATATCTGCTGAGCAGAGAACAGTCAAAATCCATTTAAGAACTTTTCCCTGTGCTGTTGAGAGTAACATTTAATGTTTAACAGCTGGATGTCATTTGAGATAAACTTTCAGAAGTAGCTGGCATCAATTCTTTCCTTCCTTGATCTCTTTACCTTCCTCTCCTACGGCAACAAGATTTTTGAGATTACACTGTGTGTCCAATTCCTTTGCTCCTAACGTACCTTTGGAACTTGCTAGCTGATTTTAAACAAATTTGACAGGTCAAACTAAAAGATAATTAAGCTCCCAAGGAGTTCCTTGAAAATAAGGTGTTGGGCGGAGCAGAGACCCAGTACTCTGCAGAAGGAAAGTCTCCAGCGTTAGTTCACACAGTATTAGACAGAGATGACTACACAGAGAGACTGAAAAATGCTTCAACTAGCCACTCCAGCTGGAGCTTGCATCGCGGATATCCAATTTAATTCACTGCAAGACCCAAATCCATAGGAAATCAGATTTCATTATTGCCAAGGTTCATGGAATTGTTAGTTTGTCCAAAAGATCCCTGTGTCTCCAGCAGTGCACATTCAGTGTTTCTTTATTATCTTCAGTCACACATGGAGCCCCAGGCTTTATTTGCCCTTTATTTATCTTGTACTGACCACAAAATACTAATTTCTTCGTGAGGTTTTTCATAATGCTTGTAATGCTGTATTTTAGATCTATTTTAGACTTTTATCTTCATAACGTTCTTAGTAACATTAGGTAGTATATTCAGCATTGCACACATGGGAACCAATGTACAGAGATTAAAGCAAAGAGGATAAATGATACCAACTCACTTAGTGCTGGTGCAACGTAGGGCATAATTTTACTACACTATCACCTTGTTTAATTAAAAAAAAAAAAAGTCTGTTCTGGACATTGAATGAACCAGATATTCTTCTGGAAACAGTAGCATATAATTAGGTCATGTAAATCAAAACTTAATCATAATGCTTGAGTATAGGGGATGAGATTCATCTTAGTGTGCAACCTTAGCCAGCTAAAATTTACGTGACTGGTTTGGTGTGGTTGTTTGGAATCACGTCTATTCAATGAAGAGAGATGCATCTTTTTAGGATAAAATTGTTTTCTGGAGGTGCCTTTCTCTCTCCATCGATTATAGAGGACTCCATATCTCAGCCTATATGGTTTCATATGATTAAAGTTAAAGAAATTAAACTCCAGGAGACCAAAGGAATGTTACACACTTCACTTACTTCTGGCATTTGCTGCTTCTGCAAGATCTTGACTTTGAAGCCAAATTGCTCTCTTAAATAGGGTTTTGGAGGTGCAACTATATTAATCCTTACATAGATGATCTGTAGGGTTGAGGAACCCTAGAGTAACAGCACAGCTGTCTTCTCAAGTTTGTGAACTAACTAATTGCAGTTCAACATTGTTATAGTCTACGTGGTATTAACAGAAGAGGGAGATAGAGACCCATACTTTGCCAGTGGGTTAGATGTTTTAGACATTGTGGCACAGCAGGCTTTGGGAGCAAGGACTTCATCCCCATTTCTTGAGGAGGGTGTTCTGCAGCAGTTAGATCCTGCTGTGTCTGACCCCATATCCTCTCC